TTTAAGAGATATCTTAAGCAATGATTGCCTATAAAATCTGTGCATATTATTTTAAAAAAATCTTGAATTCAATTGAAATTCATCAAATATTTATTGAAGTCCAACTGGGAAGTGCAAAGCATTATGCTAGTGACTGAGAGGGAAAAAGACAGTTTCTGCCTTCCTGGAGTGAAAATATTTTCATAAATATCTTTGATATAAGCAAACTGGAATAGGTGTTGAATATATAGCTGGTATAATGATGGAAGACTGAGAGAGAAAAATCTAATTGGTATTATTGGGAGAATGCTTTTCTAAAAAAGTAATGTCACTAGGGCTGCAGAGTACCAGCAGAGTTTGGATGGCACTTTTGAGAATAATAAGTACATTATTTCAAAATTTCTAAATGAATTTACTTGTTACAAAAGTGAATTTTAAAAGATATAAACAAGTTATTCATGACTTTAGAAAAAATGTTAAGTTAAAAAAAATATTGTCTTGTATCAGAGATAAGAGTTCTCCACAATAAATGGCCATGTTAAGAAATAAAACTTTAGCCAAAAATATAATATTTGCATTAAAAGTGTCTTGTTGACCTTAATGGTATGCAAAAAGATTGCTTCCGTATTTTGTACTTTAAGAACCCAGGAGATTTTGCTCAATTTCTGAAATTCACTATGTCACCTTTTGAATTCAAGGAAAATGCATGTAGATTTTATTTGAAGCATTTTGAGAATTGTGAAAGAATTAAACATGATTTATTAATTCATCAGAGAATTCATTCAGCAACTGTTCATTAAATGTATTTTCTGCACCAAGAACTGTTCCAGACCCTGGGAAAAAAGTCTAGATAATGCAGACAAAATTCCTGCCTTCTGGGATTGTAGCTCAGTGGTAGAACATTTGCCTAGCATATGTGAGGCACTGGGTTTGATTATCAGCACCACATATAAATAAATAAATAAATTAAAGGTCTATTGACAACTAAAAAAAATATTTAAAAAAATTCCTGCCTTCTATGGGAGACTGACAAATAAACAAGTGAGTAAATATGTAGAATGTTTGATGGTATAAGTGCTCTTGGAAAAAGTGAACATAGCACCATGAATAATAGAGGATATTGGTGAAGGGTAACATTTGCTATTTTATGTAAGTTGTTT